ATCCATTGCTATAAGATCCGTACTTGCCGTCTTTGGAGAGCCGAATGTTGTATTTGAACCCCACCTCCTCAGCGACTTTTTCGAGTAAATCAACGAGGAATCCCTTGTAGCCACCGCCATCTTTGTTCATGACGTAGGGGCTGGACTGGAATATATAGACGGAATCATTGCTATAATATGAAGACAAATACACATAAAGAGAATTGAACACATAACTTTGTGTAATAGGGATATCATGCCGTCCATGTGACGTATTGGCATGTGAGCAACAATGGCTCCAGTTTCAACACTTGCCGAACTGAGCATAAATTTCGTAGCTCGATCGTAGCGCCACCAGTGGCTTTTTCGAGTTATGTCCCTTCTATGTCCCTTCTTTTGACCGATTAGATTCTTCCATAACACTTGCATTATTGTGCTTCAAACACGGCGCCCAGTCAAGACGATATAATCGTTAATCAAGATCTGTATTGTAATACAACGAGTCTTATTAAGCGAAGGGCATCAAATCACTTGAGCACCTTGATTAAAAGAAGAAAATAATTGGAAAATCTATGTCAAGACCCAGTTGACAGTATACATGCTCTGCAAATCGTGCATTCGGCCGAAATCTGCACGGCAGTCGCCATGTTGTTTATGAACCGGATGTCAATTTTGTTCCGCGATTTTGATTTGACTATGCATTGACTCGTCAGTCCAGCCAAAATGTAACTCCGGAATTCAAGCCTAGTTCGACAAGGAACTGGACTTTTATAGTGTTATTAATCTGAAAAAAAGAAACGCGAAGGCAAATTTGTGAGAGGTAGGAAAATACATTTATGCGAGGAACCGTACAAGGTATGGAGCAAAAATCTTCTGGAGAGAACCAGACATCTCTCCAATGAGGCCATACCCTGTGTTGACGACACCATTGCAGTCGTTGTTGACGATGTTGTTTCTGAGATTCTGCACAGTCCGGGTATTTGGGAAGCGGTTCAGGTTGCTGTGGTCGTCCTTTCACGTAGGTGGCGCAGTAGCGATAATTGGCGGAGGTGGTTACTCTTGGTCGTCCCGACCTTGGCGGATCACGTGTTGACCCATGCTGTTGAAACCGATCCCATAGCCTTGTGGTGGTTTTGCTGGGCGCTACATTGAAAACCCTGGCTACAGCTGATCTGGATTCCCCTGCCTGCAAGCGCCTATGACGTTGTTACTTTGCACTTCCGTTAATCTTTGCATGTTGTCGAACATGTGTGTTTTTCCAAATCGAACGTCTTTCCAGACTTATGGTTTTGATGTCCTTGTTGTGATCATTTTGATCCGGGACATTTATCACTGACACTATAACACAATAAACCTCTTCATTTTGCACCTCTCTGGTCCGCTCATTTTGTTTTTATGGCCAGTAATATCCGCATTGCGTTTCTTTTTTTGAGGAGTATATATGGCAGTGTAGTTAATTGTTAAAAAGGGATTGTAGCTGTATAACATTGTTTCCGTTGAGATTCAGTAGAAGTTCATTTTTTTTTCTCGATAAAATCTGTGATGATACCAGGTAAGAATATTCTGCTCCACGGGTGGGGACACATTCACAAAAACCTTCCAGCCCCACCCTTTCCCCCACCCATGATAAATAGAGGTCATGATGTTAAGACACATAAAACTGCCAGGCCAAAGTAAGCATACCACATGGAAATTAGATTTGATAAAAAAATGTTATCAAAACTTTACAGGGCTGAAAACAGTCGCCGAAACACTGCAAACACAGCTGTGAAACCCGTATCAAAAACATCACCATCGAATAATCATTTCTTGTTTTATTCATTTTTAGCCACCATGAAACATAAGTGTCTACTTTCTTTTGACCGGCGGTTCATATTACAATAAAACTGATGACGTATTTCTTCGATAAGAAATCATTTGTTGTCAACATTGAAAAAAAATAAATCACTGGATATGCTGGATTTCCTGAAAACAAATATCCCAAAAATGATTGGTCCCCTCTTTCAGTCAATAATGTTGAATGTGACAGACACAATAGAACAGTCGGACACTTACCGATATAGGAAAGAAGAGCGTGTTAACAGGTTTATGCGTATCTATGTGTGGTCTAGAAAATATAGTAGTTTTGAAAATAAAGGAAAGGTTAAATAAATAACTTACCAGTATCGAGGTAACAGTGTAGTTTGGAGCAGCCATCATGGTTTGTCGAGCTGTTCTGAAAAAAATTATAAAAGTACGAAACAGATCTTAACAGCTGAGCTGGAATCCAGTTTGCTCTTAAATATTCAAGGTGCAACAAGCTCCATATGGACATGTATTCCATGTGGGATGGATAAGCCACAGCTGAGCCTTGCGGAGTCTTTGTATATATATATATATATATGGTTGTGTTTTTCTGTTTAATATTTTATTCACCATCAGTTTATTATTTTTAAAATTTTTTTTATTCAACTTCTATTCAATCTTCCAGATTAATATACGAGTTTAAGCGATACACTTAGTTGTGATGTGACATATATCTCGCTGGTATAGTACACTGACACAACGCTTCACGAGCTGTTTGTCCACCATCGATGACGGGAGACCCAACGATGACATTCTTGTAAGTTTAGGTCACGTCAACTAACATTGGCTTATGATGATCAACACACATCCATTGTCTTGTATTTCCACATTTTACGTTGTTCTGACAACGCATGCCTCCTTATTCTCAGTTCTCAGTAAATACGGCTACATAGGGTTTCATTTTGTACAAAATTTATCACTTACACATCTATTGTTTGATTATGTTTGATATTGTGTCAGTAACAATTGTGAAGTTGTGGCATCCGTATCCTGTACATGACAAAGTATCCTTTAATGTTTGCTTGAGTCATCAAATGAATACTCTGTAACACAGCTAACATGTTTAGTTATACAAATTTTGTTTGTTTGTTTGTTTGCTGTTTAACTCCGCACTCCGCAATATTCCAGCTATTGACGGCGGTCTGTAATCGAGTCTGGACCGGACAATCCACTAGTTGCTAGTATCGATCCACGCATTAGAGATACGACTGACATACATCAACTAAGTAAGCAAGCCTGACCTGCCGATCCCGTTAGTCGCCTCTTACTACTCCGCCCGGATATTCAAGAGGCAAACGTGCAACTAATACGTATACCATACATTCCATTGTGTATGGATGCAGGAAATATGTTATCATTTATTACAATGATATTCTTAGATAAAGAAACCGATTGTTGTTACCAATCAAGCTTATTGTTTTGGTTTTAACGGTGCCTTGAACTATTTTACAGTATGCCAGTTATATCACGGCGTGTCAGCTTGATGTGGGAGGAGAGCTTAGAGTAATGCAGATCTCAGATGTTAACTACTTTGGTTAAACCCACGAACGCGGGTATGGTGCTGTTAAACCTTGGATGATAATCAGGGCGAACATGAGAATCCAACCTATGATTCATAGGTTTCTGGCGTGCCCAAGGGACGCAACTCCCCACAGTGACCCGCGGCGTCTCAGATGACAGGGCCACCTGCGCCCCACTTAAATATATGTTAGAATTATCTTTCATAGACAGACAATATGGACTTACCTCAATAACATTCGGTTCCACAATCTCTCCTGGCACAGAATGTACTCTGTATTAAGTAACGACCTTGACACGGAACTGCCGCTCCACAATAATAAGCCAGTTAAATTCTGTGTTGTTTATTATCGTTATTATCGTCATATGTCCCTATGAGCTGATACAACATAATAGATCAACCTTTCCGAATAAGTGATCTATAATGGCCAGGCCTGAGAGGGGACCACTTAAGCCATTTATATTTTTCCTGCAATTATATCAAAATTGTGATCGCATCCGTTTACATTAAGGTAACTGGGGCGAGTGGAATCATAGCCGGATAGCCGAATCTAACAGTGTCCGTCTTATGGAATATCATGTTAATATCATCCAGTCTGATGCATACACGTGTACAGTGACAACGTGTCATTATGGATGTGATGTGGTGTATGTGTGTGTGTTAGTGTATGTGTGTGTGTAAGTGTCTGCCTGTGTGTGTATGTTAGGTGTGTGAGTGTGTTAGTATGTGTGTAAGTGTATGTGTCTGTGTGTGTATGTTAGGTGTGTGAGTGTGTTTATATTTTAACGTCTGTATTTTGAACTGACCTGTGTAATGTCTTGATAATGTTGTGAAAGTTCTATTGCTTCAGAAACAAGTAATGCTCTAACAGTGTGCTTCAATGATTTGTCCACTGTCCATTGTACGATTCCGGCTATATAATTAGCAGGTGTTTAGTCATCACTAGCAAATAGGTATGATAGCAGGTATTCGTAAACCGCATGTGGTTGTCGTTATGGTATTGAACAGATTTTCCATACAAGACTTTGAATGCATACTTTTATTATCATTGGTCCTGTCACAGTAAACCATTGATGAAATAATCACCAAGTTAGCCATTCCATCTTCAAATTTAAAGTGAGTGATAGAGAGAATATGGTCTACGCCGCTTTTAGCACTATTCCAGCAACATCCCGGCGGGGTACACCAGTAATGGGCTTCACACATTGTACCTATATAGGGACTCGAACCAGGGTCTTTGGCGTGACGAGCGGAGGCTTTAACCAGTACGCTACCCTACCACACCTCCAAACTTAAACAAGACGATAACAACATGTATTCAAACAAACAAAAGCTGTATATTGAAATGAAATAAAAGGTCATTTATGATACAATAGTACAAAGACCACCAGAACTAAAATCAGCAAAAATCCCTTTAAAAAACCGAAAGTGAACATATTAAACAAACAAGCAAAACGTTACACAGCTAAATACGGAACGTTATATTGTGGATAACTAAGAATAAACAGGAAAAGAAGAAAATTATAAACATGATCCGGGTGAACGCTGTCCTTAGTATTGACAAAATACAAACTGACTCTTTATTAGATGTCACTTTTGACATTGGTTTATGTATATATGTGATCTTTTATATCAAAGTCAGCTTTGCTAAATTAATCTAGGTTGATGTTGAAAACAGTGATGCTGTCGTGGGTGGGGTTGCAGCAGTGGAAGATCGTTTTGACGACCCCGTCTGCAGGAACACGGATGCTGTTGATACACTTGGCCTCTGGGTTGTGGTACCTGGAAACAGGGAGGCTGTTGTCATGGCACCTGATGTGGTGCCTGTTGTCATAGTAGCACTGCTTCCAGATGTGCCGCCTGTTGTCATAGAAGCACTGCTTCCAGATGTACCGCCTGTCGTCATAGTAGCACTGCTTCCAGATGTGCCACCTGTCAGTGATGCTGTCGTGGGTGGGGTTGCAGCAGTGGAAGATCGTTCTGACGACCCCGTCTGCAGGAACACGGATGCTGTTGATACACTTGGCCTTTGGGTTGTGGTACCTGGAAACAGGGAGGCTGTTGTCATGGCACCTGATGTGGTGCCTGTTGTCATAGTAGCACTGCTTCCAGATGTACCGACTGTCGTCATGGTAGCACTGCTTCCAGATGTGCCACCTGTCGTCATGGTAGCACTGCTTCCAGATGTCCCACCTGTCGTCATGGTAGCACTGCTTCCAGATGTGCCGCCTGTCGTCATGGTAGCACTGCTTCCAGATGTGCCACCTGTCGTCATGGTAGCACTGCTTCCAGATGTGCCGCCTGTTGTCAAAGTAGCACTGCCTCCAGATGTGCCGCCTGTTGTCATAGTGGCACTGCTTCCAGATGTGCCACCTGTCAGTGATGCTGTCGTGGGTGGGGTTGCAGCAGTGGAAGATCGTTCTGACGACCCCGTCTGCAGGAACACGGATGCTGTTGATACACTTGGCCTCTGGGTTGTGGTACCTGGAAACAGGGAGGCTGTTGTCATGGCACCTGATGTGGTGCCTGTTGTCATGGTAGCACTGCTTCCAGATGTACCGACTGTCGTCATGGTAGCACTGCTTCCAGATGTGCCACCTGTTGTCATGGTAGCACTGCTTCCAGATGTGCCAGCTGTCGTCATGGTAGCACTGCTTCCAGATGTGCCACCTGTCGTCATGGTTGCACTGCTTCCAGTTGTGCCGCCTGTCGTCATGGTAGCACTGCTTCCAGATGTGCCACCTGTGGTCATTGTAGCAGTGCTTCCAGATGTGCCGCCTGTCGTCATGGTAGCAATACTTCCAGATGTGCCGCCTGTCGTCATGGTTACACTACTTCCAGACGTGCCGCCTGTTGTCATGGTAGCACTGCTTCCAGGTGTGCCGCCTGTCGTCATGGTAGCACTGCTTCCAGATGTGCCACCTGTGGTCATGGTAGCACTGCTTCCAGATGTGCCGCCTGTTGTCATGGTAGCACTGCTTCCAGATGTGCCACCTGTCGTCATGGTAGCACTGCTTCCAGATGTGCCACCTGTCGTCATGGTTGCACTGCTTCCAGTTGTGCCGCCTGTCGTCATGGTAGCACTACTTCCAGATGTGACGCCTGTTGTCATGGTTGCACTGCTTCCAGATGTGCCACCTGTCGTCATGGTTGCACTGCTTCCAGTTGTGTCGCCTGTCGTCATGGTTACACTACTTCCAGATGTCCCGCCTGTTGTCATAGTAGCACTGCTTCCAGATGTGCCACCTGTCGTCAAGGTAGCACTGCTTCCAGATGTGCCGCCTGTCGTCATGGTAGCACTGCTTCCAGATGTGCCACCTGTGGTCATTGTAGCAGTGCTTCCAGATGTGCCGCCTGTCGTCATGGTAGCACTGCTTCCAGATGTGTCGCTTGTCGTCATTGTAGCACTACTTCTAGATGTGCCGCCTGTTGTCATGGTAGCACTGCTTCCAGATGTGCCACCTGTTGTCATGGTAGCACTGGAGCCACTTGTACCCCCTGTCGTCAATGTAGCGCTTGAGCCAGATGTGCCGCCTGAGGTAAATGTAGGTGCAGTAGCAGATGTTTCTGTGATACTTGAACCTGTGATGTCAGTGACTGAGGACTTGCAGGTGGCACAGCAGAATTCGTTGGCTAGCGTCTGGTTGACGCAAAAGAAGGGTTGGCAGACTAGACCTGGATCATCACCTGCCGGACAGTTTGCTGTAAACAAGTAAACATGAATGTCCATTTAGTAAAATGGCAGGGGTTGAAAACCCTTAAGAACACTTGAAAAGTCAGTTCCAAGTAAACAAAGGCTGTTTATCAATTTATCAATTGAATGCGTTTGTTTATCTTGTAAGTTTACCATATAAATATATATAACAGTAAACATTAGTCAATATTGTTTGACAATATAACATACATAGTGCGAATGCAGAGGGAAGTTCCGTCCCTCACTATGTTCGATTTTTATAGGCTTTTGACCCTGCAAGTATGATACTCTAAATCCAGTAAACGGTGTCTACTCGGGTTTCAGCCTCACGAAAGTATGCCTAGTTGTGGGATGCTGTTACTTCAGCCTTACTGTAGAACGGAGTAGTGGAAATAGTCTTCCAATATTCTACAAATGTACTGGTAAAGAGCACGGGCCACCACTACCATTGGACGACTTAATCATTCATGCAACAGTATTGGTGAAGAGTTCGGTCCACCACTACCACTCGACGACTTAATCATTCAACAGTACTGGTGAAGAGCACAGGCCACCACTACCACTTGACGACTTAATCATTCAACAGTACTGGCAAAGAGCACGGGCCACCACTACAATTGGACGACTTAATCATTCAACAGTACTGGTAAAAAGCACAGGCCACTACTACAATTGGACGACTTAATCATTCAACAGTACCGGTAAAGAGAACTGGCCACCACCAAGATTGGATGACTTAATCATTCAACATCACTGGTAAAGAGCACGGGCCATCATGACCATTGGATGACCTAATCATTCAACAGTACTGGTAAAGAGCACGGGCCACCACTACAATTGGACGACTTAATCATTCAACAGTACTGGTAAAAAGCACAGGCCACTACTACAATTGGACGACTTAATCATTCAACAGTACCGGTAAAGAGCACTGGCCACCACCAAGATTGGATGACTTAATCATTCAACATCACTGGTAAAGAGCACGTGCCATCATGACCATTGGATGACCTAATCATTCAACAGTACCGGTAAAGAGCACTGGCCACCACCAAGATTGGATGACTTAATCATTCAACATCACTGGTAAAGAGCACGTGCCATCATGACCATTGGATGACCTAATCATTCAACAGTACCGGTAAAGAGCACTGGCCACCACCAAGATTGGATGACTTAATCATTCAACATCACTGGTAAAGAGCACGTGCCATCATGACCATTGGATGACCTAATCATTCAACAGTACCGGTAAAGATCATGGGCTATCATTACCTTTAGCTGACATATTCTTTCAACAGTATGTTTATTTAGTCAGTGAGATGAATATGTTGGCTAAATTAGTCATGTATTTGAGACAAAATCAATAATAGGAAGAACTATGACATATGACAATAATAGTTTATTATCTTTGATCTGTCGTTACAAAGCAAAATGACTATTATCTGACAAAATATGCTGAATGAATTTATATAACCAGAGTATAGACACAGAAACTACAGAAGTATTACAGGATTGTTATAGAAACGTGAAGGTAAATTGTGACATGAGACAAATAACAACATAGTGAAAATAATTAGTCTTTAAAAATCAAGTATGATATAACTCTAGTATGATGGCGCCTGGAAAGATACTAAAATGATAAATGATATTTTAAAGGTTTGCATTAAGTCATTAAGTGAGCGTCTTACTCCTTCACATTGTTTAGAAAAGGAAAACAATACCAATGTGAAATCATACAGAACTATCTCCTCCAAAATGACAAGGACATTTTAAATCCTGATATCGAATAAAGAATTTTGTAATTTGTATCAGGTGTTGTTATGACTGAATAAATATTTCCTAGACTAGCTACCGTGTTGTTCCAAGTAGTGACGCTGTGGTTAAAGGCCTGTTTGTCTCTGATTAGTTCTTAAAAAACACCGACCCGGCTGTTGCAGAAACCAATGTTGTCTTTTGAAATCACGTAGTTATAGAAGTCGGTGATGCAGATGACGCCATTTTCTGAAATATTGAAGCAGTCGATGCTACAAATACATCTGTTGTCGATTCTGTTCGTTTTGTTGACGCCGTAACCTCAAATGCAGAGGCAGTTGATGCTGCAGGTATATTCGTTGTTGATTCTGTTCGTTTTGTTGACGCCGTATCCTCAAATGCGGAGGAAGTTGATGCTGCAGGTATATTCGTTGTTGATTCTGTTCGTTTTGTTGACGCCGTATCCTCAAATGACGAGGCAGTTGATGCAGCAGGTATATTCGTTGTTGATTCTGTTCGTTTTGTTGACGCCGTACTCCCAGTAACTGAGGGTGTTGGTGTACCTGATGTTCCTCCAGTATCTGTGGGAGTTGGTGTATCTGATGTTCCTCCAGTAACTGTGTGCGGTGGTGTACCTGATGTTTCACCAGTAACCGTGGGCGGTGGAGTTTCTGAAGTTCCTCCAGTAACTGTTGGAGTTGGTGTACCTGATGTTCCTCCAGTAACTGCGGGCGGTGGTGTACCTGATAATTCTCCACTTACTGTGGGTTGCGTGTCAGACGTTCCTCCAGTAACTGTGGGCGGTGAAGTATCTGACGTTCCTCCAGTAATTGTTGGAGTTGGTGTATCTGATGTTCCTCCAGTATCTGAGGGCGGTGGAGTATCTGAAGTTCCTTCAGTAACTGTGGGCGGTGGTGTACCTGATGTTCCTCCACTTACTGTGGGTTGCGTGTCTGGCGTTCCTCCAGTAATTGTGGGAGTTGGTGTATCTGATGTTCCTCCAGTAAATGTGGGAGTTGGTGTTCGTTTTGTTGACGCCGTATCCTCAAATGCGGTGGCAGTTGATGCTGCAGGTATATTCGTTGTTGATGCTGTTCGTTTTGTTGACGCCGTAACCTCAAATGCGGAGGCAGTTGATGCTGCAGGTATATTCGTTGTTGATTCTGTTCGTTTTGTTGACGCCGTATCCTCAAATGACGAGGAAGTTGATGCTGCAGGTATATTCGTTGTTGATTCTATTCGTTTTGTTGACGCCGTATCCTCAAATGCAGAGGCAGTTGATGCTGCAGGTATATTCGTTGTTGATTCTGTTCGTTTTGTTGACGCCGTACTCCCAGTAACTGAGAATGCTGGTGTATCTGATGTTCCTCCACTTAATGTAGGAGTTGGTGTAACTGATGTTCCTCCCGTAACTGTGGGCGGTGGTGTACCTGATGTTCCCCCACTTACTGTGGGCTGCGTGTCTGACGTTCCTCCAGTAACTGTGGGCGGTGGAGTATCTGAAGTTCCTCCAGTACCTGTGGGAGTTGGTGTACTTGATGTTCCTCCAGTAACTGTGGGCGGTGGTGTACCTGATGTTCCTCCACTTACTGTGGGTTGCGTGTCTGACGTTCCTCCAGTAATTGTTGGAGTTGGTGTATCTGATGTTCCTCCAGTATCTGAGGGCGGTGGAGTATCTGAAGTTCCTCCAGTAACTGTGGGCGGTGGTGTACCTGATGTTCCTCCACTTACTGTGGGTTGCGTGTCTGGCGTTCCTCCAGTAATTGTGGGAGTTGGTGTATCTGATGTTCCTCCAGTAAATGTGGGAGTTGGTGTTTGTTTTGTGGAAGCCGTATCCTCAAATGCAGAGGCAGTTGATGCTGCAGGTATATTCGTTGTTGATTCTGTTCGTTTTGTTGACGCCGTACTCCCAGTAACTGAGGATGCTGATTTATCTGATGTTCCTCCACTTACTGTAGGAGTTGGTGTAACTGATGTTCCTCCAGTAACTGAGGGCGGTGGTGTACCTGATGTTCCTCCACTTACTGTGGGTTGCGTGTCTGACGTTCCTCCAGTTACTGTGGGCGGTGGTGTACCTGATGTTCCTCCACTTACTGTGGGTTGCGTGTCTGACGTTCCTCCAGTAATTGTGGGAGTTGGTGTATCTGATGTTCCTCCAGTATCTGAGGGCGGTGGAGTATCTGAAGTTCTTCCAGTAACTGTGGGAGTTGGTGTATCTGATGTTGTTCCAGTAACTGTGGGCGGTGGTGTACCTGATGTTCCTCCACTTACTGTGGGTTGCGTATCTGACGTTCCTCCAGTAACTGTTGGCGGTGGTGTATCGGACGTTACTCCGGTATCTGTGGGAGTTGGTCTACCTGATGTTCCTCCCGTAACTGTGGGCTTTGTTGTACCTGATGTTCCTCCCGTAACCGTGGGCGGTGATGTATCTGACGTTCCTCCAGTTACTGTGGGCGGTGGTGTACCTGACGTTCCTCCACTTACTGTGGGCTGCGTGTCTGACGTTCCTCCAGTAATTGTTGGAGTTGGTGTATCTGATGTTCCTCCAGTATTTGTTGGAGTAGGTGGTCGTTTTATTGACGCCGTATCCTCAAATGCGGAGGCAGTTGATGCTGCAGGTATATTCGTTGTTGATTCTGTTCGTTTTGTTGACGCCGTACTCCCAGTAACTGAGGATGTTGGTGTATCTGATGTTCCTCCACTTACTGTGGGTTGCGTGTCTGACGTTCCTCCCGTAACTGTGGCCGGTGGTGTACCTGATGTTCCTCCCGTAACTGTGGGCAGTGGTGTATCTGACGTTCCTCCAGTAACTGTTGGAGTTGGTGTACCTGATGTTCCTCCAGTAACTGTGGGCGGTGGTGTACCTGATGTTCCTCGACTTACTATGGGACGCGTGTCTGACGTTCCTCCCGTAACTGTGGGAGTTGGTGTACCTGATATTCCTCCAGTAACTGTGGGCGGTGGTGTACCTGATGTTCCTCCACTTACTGTGGGCTGCGTGTCTGACGTTCCTCCAGTAACTGTGGGAGTTGGTGAACCTGATGTTCCTCCAGTAACTGTGGGCGGTGGTGTACCTGATGTTCCTCCAGTAACTGTGGGCTGTGTGTCTGACGTTCCTCCCGTAACTGTGGGCGGTGGTGTATCTGACGTTCCTCCAGTAACTGTTGGAGTTGGTGTACCTGATGTTCCTCCCGTAACTGTGGGCGGTGGTGTATCTGACGTTCCTCCAGTAACTGTTGGAGTTGGTGTACCTGATGTTCCTCCCGTAACTGTGGGCGGTGGTGTACCTGATGTTCCTCCAGTAACTGTGGGCGGTGGTGTACCTGATGTTCCTCCACTTACTGTGGGCTGCGTGTCTGACGTTCCTCCCGTAACTGTGGGAGTTGGTGTATCTGATGTTCTTCCCGTAACTGTGGGCGGTGGTGTATCTGATGTTCCTCCACTTACTGTGGGTTGCGTGTCTGACGTTCCTCCAGTAACTGTGGGAGTTGGTGTACCTGATGTTCCTCCAGTAACTGTGGGCAGTGGTGTACCTGATGTTCCTCCACTTACTGTGGGCTGCGTGTCTGACGTTCCTCCAGTTACTGTGGGCGGTGGAGTATCTGAAGTTCCTCCAGTAAATGTGGGAGTTGGTGTACCTGACGTTCCTCCACTTACTGTGGGTTGCGTTTTTGACGTTCCTCCAGTAATTGTTGGAGTTGGTGTATCTGATGTTCCTCCAGTAATTGTGGGAGTGGGTGTTCGTTTTGTTGACGCCGTATCCTCAAATGCGGAGGCAGTTGATGCTGCAGGTATATTCGTTGTTGATTCTGTTCGTTTTGTTGACGCCGTACTCCCAGTAACTGAGGATGTTGGTGTATCTGATGTTCCTCCACTTACTGTGGGTTGCGTGTCTGACGTTCCTCCCGTAACTGTGGGCAGTGGTGTACCTGATGTTTCAGCATTAACCGTGGGCGGTGGAGTATCTGAAGTTCCTCCAGTAACTGTGGGCGGTGGTGTACCTGATGTTCCTCCACTTACTGTGGGTTGCGTGTCTGGCGTTCCTCCAGTAATTGTGGGAGTTGGTGTATCTGATGTTCCTCCAGTAAATGTGGGAGTTGGTGTTTGTTTTGTGGAAGCCGTATCCTCAAATGCAGAGGCAGTTGATGCTGCAGGTATATTCGTTGTTGATTCTGTTCGTTTTGTTGACGCCGTACTCCCAGTAACTGAGGATGCTGATTTATCTGATGTTCCTCCACTTACTGTAGGAGTTGGTGTAACTGATGTTCCTCCAGTAACTGAGGGCGGTGGTGTACCTGATGTTCCTCCACTTACTGTGGGTTGCGTGTCTGACGTTCCTCCAGTTACTGTGGGCGGTGGTGTACCTGATGTTCCTCCACTTACTGTGGGTTGCGTGTCTGACGTTCCTCCAGTAATTGTGGGAGTTGGTGTATCTGATGTTCCTCCAGTATCTGAGGGCGGTGGAGTATCTGAAGTTCTTCCAGTAACTGTGGGAGTTGGTGTATCTGATGTTGTTCCAGTAACTGTGGGCGGTGGTGTACCTGATGTTCCTCCACTTACTGTGGGTTGCGTATCTGACGTTCCTCCAGTAACTGTTGGCGGTGGTGTATCGGACGTTACTCCGGTATCTGTGGGAGTTGGTCTACCTGATGTTCCTCCCGTAACTGTGGGCTTTGTTGTACCTGATGTTCCTCCCGTAACCGTGGGCGGTGATGTATCTGACGTTCCTCCAGTTACTGTGGGCGGTGGTGTACCTGACGTTCCTCCACTTACTGTGGGCTGCGTGTCTGACGTTCCTCCAGTAATTGTTGGAGTTGGTGTATCTGATGTTCCTCCAGTATTTGTTGGAGTGGGTGTTCGTTTTATTGACGCCGTATCCTCAAATGCGGAGGCAGTTGATGCTGCAGGTATATTCGTTGTTGATTCTGTTCGTTTTGTTGACGCCGTACTCCCAGTAACTGAGGATGTTGGTGTATCTGATGTTCCTCCACTTACTGTGGGTTGCGTGTCTGACGTTCCTCCCGTAACTGTGGCCGGTGGTGTACCTGATGTTCCTCCCGTAACTGTGGGCAGTGGTGTATCTGACGTTCCTCCAGTAACTGTTGGAGTTGGTGTACCTGATGTTCCTCCAGTAACTGTGGGCGGTGGTGTACCTGATGTTCCTCGACTTACTATGGGACGCGTGTCTGACGTTCCTCCCGTAACTGTGGGAGTTGGTGTACCTGATATTCCTCCAGTAACTGTGGGCGGTGGTGTACCTGATGTTCCTCCACTTACTGTGGGCTGCGTGTCTGACGTTCCTCCAGTAACTGTGGGAGTTGGTGAACCTGATGTTCCTCCAGTAACTGTGGGCGGTGGTGTACCTGATGTTCCTCCAGTAACTGTGGGCTGTGTGTCTGACGTTCCTCCCGTAACTGTGGGCGGTGGTGTATCTGACGTTCCTCCAGTAACTGTTGGAGTTGGTGTACCTGATGTTCCTCCCGTAACTGTGGGCAGTGGTGTATCTGACGTTCCTCCAGTAACTGTTGGAGTTGGTGTACCTGATGTTCCTCCCGTAACTGTGGGCGGTGGTGTACCTGATGTTCCTCCAGTAACTGTGGGCGGTGGTGTACCTGATGTTCCTCCACTTACTGTGGGCTGCGTGTCTGACGTTCCTCCCGTAACTGTGGGAGTTGGTGTATCTGATGTTCTTCCCGTAACTGTGGGCGGTGGTGTCTCTGATGTTCCTCCACTTACTGTGGGTTGCGTGTCTGACGTTCCTCCAGTAACTGTGGGAGTTGGTGTACCTGATGTTCCTCCAGTAACTGTGGGCAGTGGTGTACCTGATGTTCCTCCACTTACTGTGGGCTGCGTGTCTGACGTTCCTCCAGTTACTGTGGGCGGTGGAGTATCTGAAGTTCCTCCAGTAAATGTGGGAGTTGGTGTACCTGACGTTCCTCCACTTACTGTGGGTTGCGTTTTTGACGTTCCTCCAGTAATTGTTGGAGTTGGTGTATCTGATGTTCCTCCAGTAATTGTGGGAGTGGGTGTTCGTTTTGTTGACGCCGTATCCTCAAATGCGGAGGCAGTTGATGCTGCAGGTATATTCGTTGTTGATTCTGTTCGTTTTGTTGACGCCGTACTCCCAGTAACTGAGGATGTTGGTGTATCTGATGTTCCTCCACTTACTGTGGGTTGCGTGTCTGACGTTCCTCCCGTAACTGTGGGCAGTGGTGTACCTGATGTTTCAGCATTAACCGTGGGCGGTGGAGTATCTGAAGTTCCTCCAGTAACTGTGGGCGGTGGTGTACCTGATGTTCCTCCAGTAACTGCGGGCGGTGGTGTACCTGATGTTTCTCCACTTACAGTGGGTTGCGTGTCAGACGTTCCTCCAGTAACTGTGGGCGGTGAAGTATCTGACGTTCCTCCAGTAATTGTTGGAGTTGGTGTATCTGATGTTCCTCCAGAATCTGAAGGCGGTGGAGTATCTGAAGTTCCTCCAGTAACTGTGGGCGGTGGTGTACCTGATGTTCCTCCACTTACTGTGGGTTGCGTGTCTGGCGTTCCTCTAGTAATTGTGGGAGTTGGTGTATCTGATGTTCCTCCAGTAAATGTGGGAGTTGGTGTTCGTTTTGTTGACGCCGTAACCTCAAATGCGGAGGCAGTTGATGCTGCAGGTATATTCGCTGTTGATTCTGTTCGTTTTGTTGACGCCGTATCCTCAAATGCGGAGGAAGTTGATGCTGCAGGTATATTCGTTGTTGATTCTGTTCGTTTTGTTGACGCCGTACTCCCAGTAACTGAGAATGCTGGTGTATCTGATGTTCCTCCACTTACTGTAGGAGTTGGTGTAACTGATGTTCTTCCGGTGACTGTGGGCGGTGGTGTACCTGATGTTCCCCCACTTACTGTGGGCTGTGTGTCTGACGTTCCTCCCGTAACTGTGGGCGGTGGAGTATCTGAAGTTCCTCCAGTATCTGTGAGAGTTGGTTTACCTGATGTTCCTCCAGTAACTGTGGGCGGTGGTGTACCTGATGTTCCTCCACTTACTGTGGGTTGCGTGTCTGACGTTCCTCCAGTAATTGTTGGAGTTGGTGTATCTGATGTTCCTCCAGTATCTGTGGGAGTTTGTGTACCTGATGTTCCTCCAGTAACTGTGGGCTGCGAAGTACCTGATGTTGCTCCCGTAACCGTGGGCGGTGGTGTATCTGACGTTCCTCCAGTAACTGTCGGAGTTGGTGTATCTGACGTTCCTCCAGTAACTGTGGGCGATGGTGTACCTGATGTTCCTCCACTTACTGTGGGCTGCGTGTCTGACGTTCCTCCAGTAACTGTGGGCGGTGGAGTATCTGAAGTTCCTCCAGTAACTGTGGGAGTTGGTGAACCTGATGTTCCTCCAGTAACTGTGGGCGGTTGTGTACCTGATGTTCCTCCACTTACTGAGGGTTGCGTGTCTGACGTTCCTCCAGTAATTGTTGGAGTTGGTGTATCTGATGTTCCTCCAGTAATTGTGGGAATTGGTGTTTGTTTTGTTGACGCCGTATCCTCAAATGCGGAGGCAGTTGAAGCTGCAGGTATATTCGTTGTTGATTCTGTTCGTTTTGTTGACGCCGTACTCCCAGTAACTGAGGATGTTGGTGTATCTGATGTTCCTCCACTTACTGTGGGCTGCGTGTCTGACGTTCCTCCAGTAACTTTGGGAATTGGTGTACCTGATGTTCTTCCAGTAACTGTGGGCGGTGATGTACCTGATGTTCCTCCACTTACTGTGGGTTGCGTGTCTGACGTTCCTCCAGTAACTGTGGACGGTGGTGTACCTGATGTTCCTCCAGTAACTGTGGGCGGTGGTGTATCTGACGTTCCTCCAGTAATTGTTGGAGTTGGTGTACCTGATGTTCCTCCAGTATCTGAGCGCGGTGGATTATCTGACGTTCCTCCAGTAACTGTGTGAGTTGGAGTATCTGATGTTCCTCCAGTAACTGTGGGCGTTGGTGTACCTGATGTCCCTCCACTTACTGTGGGTTGCGTGTCTGACGTTCCTCTAGTAATTCTGGGAGTTGGTGTATCTGATGTTCCTCCAGTAATTGTGGGAGTTGGTGTTCGTTTTGTTGACGCCGTATCCTCAAATGCAGAGGCAGTTGATGCTGCAGGTATATTCGTTGTTGATTCTGTTCGTTTTGTTGACGCCGTACTCCCAGTAACTGAGGATGCTGATGTATCTGATGTTCCTCCACTTACTGTGGGAGTTGGTGTAACTGATGTTCCTCCAGTAACTGTGGGCGGTGGTGTACCTGATGTTCCCCCACTTACTGTGGGTTGCGTGTCTGACGTTCCTCCAGTAACTGTGGGCGGTGGAGTATCTGAAGTTCCTCCAGTATCTGTGAGAGTTGGTGTACCTGATGTTCTTCCCGTAACTGTGGGCTGCGGTGTACCTGATGTTCCTCCCGTAACCGTGGGCGGTGGTGTATCTGACGTTCCTCCAGTAACTGTGGGAGTTGGTGTACCTGATGTTCCTCCAGGAACTTTGGGCCGTGGTGTACCTGATGTTCCTCCCGTAACCGTGGGCGGTGGAGTATCTGATGTTCCTCCAGTAACTGTGGGAGTTGGTGTACCTGATGTTCCTCCAGTAACTGTGGGCGGTGGTGTACCTGATGTTCCCCCACTTACTGTGGGCTGCGTGTCTGACGTTCCTCCAGTAACTGTGGGCGGTGGAGTATCTGAAGTTCCTCCAGTATCCGTGAGAGTTGGTGTACCTGATGTTCTTCCCGTAACTGTGGGCTGCGGTGTACCTGATGTTCCTCCCGTAACCGTGGGCGGTGGTGTATCTGACGTTCCTCCAGTAACTGTGGGAGTTGGTGTACCTGATGTTCCTCCCGTAACTGTGGGCTGTGGTGTACCTGATGTTCCTCCCGTAACTGTGGGCGGTGGTGTATCTGACGTTCCTCCAGTAACTGTTGGAGTTGGTGTAACTGATGTTCCTCCAGTAATTGTAGGCGGTGGTGTACCTGATGTTCCTCCACTTACTGTGGGCTGCGTGTTTGACGTTCCTCCCGTAACTGTGGGCGGTGGAGTATCTGATGTTCCTCCAGTAATTGTGGGAGTTGGTGTTCGTTTTGTTGACGCCGTATCCTCAAATGCGGAGGCAGTTGATGCTGCAGGTATATTCGTTGTTGATTTTGTTCGTTTTGTTGACGCCGTACTCCCAGTAACTGAGGATGTTGGTGTATCTGATGTTCCTCCACTTACTGTGGGTTGCGTGTCTGACGTTCCTGCCGTAACTGTGGGCGGTGGTGTATCTGATGTTCCTCCCGTAACTGTGGGCAGTGGTGTATCTGACGTTCCTCCAGTAACTGTTGGAGTTGGTGTACCTGATGTTCCTCCAGTAACTGTGGGCGGTGGTGTACCTGATGTTCCTCCACTTACTGTGGGCAGCGTTTCTGACGTTCCTCCCGTAACTGTGGGAGTTGGAGTATCTGATGTTCCTCCAGTAACTGTGGGAGGTGGTGTACCTGATGTTCCTCCAGTAACTGTGGGGGATGGTGTACCTGATGTTTCTCCAGTAACTGTGGACGGAGGTGTACCTGATGTTCCTCCACTTACTGTGGGTTGCGTGTCTGACGTTCCTCCAGTAATTGTGGGAGTTGGTGTATCTGATGTTCCTCCAGTAATTGTTGGAGTTGGTGTTCGTTTTGTTGACGCCGTATCCTCAAATGCGGAGGCAGTTGAAGCTGCAGGTATATTCGTTGTTGATTCTGTTCGTTTTGTTGACGCCGTACTCCCAGTAACTGAGGATGTTGGTGTACCTGATGTTCCTCCAGTATCTGTGGGCGGTGGTGTACCTGATGTTCCTCCAGTAACTGTGGGGGATGGTGTACCTGATGTTTCTCCAGTAACTGTGGACGGAGGTGTACCTGATGTTTCTTCTGTACCTGTGGTTGGCGTAGCCGATATTCCTACTGTGACAGTAAGTGACGTTCCTGATGATGCTCCTGAAATCTCAGATGGTGGTGTACCTGATGTTTCCCCTATAACTGTGGACGGAGGAATCTCCGAAGTTGTTCCTCGAGTCGTAGGCGGAGTGCCCGATGTGACACCAGAAGCCGACCCGGCAGTTGTTGTCGTGTCTGTAGATCCTGTTTCAGTAGAACTGGTAGCTAGTGTTGACACAACGTCTTTGCAAGTGGCACAGCAGGATATGTCTGCCAGGGTTTGGTTCGTACAGGATGATGCTTGGCAAGTTTCGTCAGGATCATCCCCAGCTGGGCAGTTGACTGCAGTAGATGAGATAAAGGGCAGTTAGCAGTATTGAGGACGTGTTCTCTGTATCTGTACAACTACCAACACTCTCGTAGAGTTGCACTGATCATACTGTTTGATTAATGACCAGATATCGAATAATTCTGAATCAGAATGGTTAACATATTAAACAGACTTATTTGAAACACAGATTTCCGAATACAGATGACACAGCCGTTTACATAATTCACCTAAACTCTATAAAAATCCTTTTAAGGTAAAGTAAAATATGTAATGGTTGTGATTTATCATAAACGTCATCGAGCAATGTCACACTTACCTTCATAAAGTAAATGGTTCACTTAATGCACATGTTTGGATAACAGTCCTAGCTTAATGTACGGGCGACAACACCCTTGTGTGCACTGCTGGAACTCTAATAACAATTGTGCTGTGCAAATAAACATGTGACTATGCCCTTATGCCCTTTTATAACAGGATCACACAGTTAATTACATGTACGGCAATTACAATTAATTACAATATATGATTACATGAGGACACACGATATACCTCCGGGCTTCTTATTTCCTCACAGAATTCGACAAAAATACAAACCAGATGCCTGTTTCGAGTTCATGCGTTTTATTCCCAAGTATACAGTTGATATATTTCCCACAGGTTACAGTGTATATATACTTCATGTCTATATGACAGTGACAGCTGTGATTGGCTGTAAAAATGTACAAAATTGAATACGATCCGGTGTAATTTGTCGGTGTCCATTCAAGGCATGGTATTGTTTGGTTGTCGGTACATTGGTAAGGGTGCTGCCTACGGATTTACTCATTGACGCAAGTTGTCAGTAGATTCGCGAGGGTGCAGGTGACATTCAAGGTACTGCGGGAAACAATGACGCTGTCGAGCGGGCTCCAGGTCCTCCCACAGCAAACACAGATGCCGTTGTCTTAACAGCAAGTCAGCCTCCCACGGCGGCAGAAAACATTGAGGCTGTCGTCCTTCTAGCAGGTTGTCCCGTGGGTACTGCCATCATAGAAGCAGTCGTTCTTGATCTTCCCCCGGGGGCAACGGCTGTGGGTCCCGCAAACATGGATGCAGTCGTTTGTCCCCTAGGTGCCCCAGCCGTAGGTCCCGCCATCATTGATGCAGTCGTTTTTCCCCTAGGTGCCCCAGCCGTAGGTCCCGCCATCATTGATGCAGTCGTTTTTCCCCTAGGTGCCCCAGCCGTAGGTCCCGCCATCATTGATGCAGTCGTTTTTCCCCTAGGTGCCCCAGCCGTAGGTCCCGCCATCATGGATGCAGTCGTTTGTCCCCTAGGTGCCCCAGCCGTAGGTCCCGCCATCATGGATGCAGTCGTTTGTCCCCTAGGGGCCCTACCCGTGGGTCCCGCCATCATGGAGGCTGTAGTGCGACCCCCTGGGGCCCCGCCCCCGTCTGTGGTGCTGACTGGGTTTGTTGGGGGGAGCGTAAACGCTGTGATCACGGGCTTGCACGTGGAGCAGCAGATTTGATTTCTGAATGCATCTGGAGCCACTAAACAAAGCGTGGGGTCACACGTGACACTGGGGTCATCACCAGCGGGGCAGTTCTCTGAAATAAAACAAGTTTGATGATTATATATTTTAACTTATTTTAAAACTGTGCTGTGGTTTTGAAGGCGCAAAGAGGTGGGTTTAGGTGAGGTGAGGTGAGGTGAGGTGAGGTAAGGTGAGGTGAGGTGAGGTGAGGTGAGGTGAAATTAAATGGGTTTAACGTCGCGTTTCAGATTATTGCACTTATATAGCGTCGTGAACGTCGCTCTATCCACTCGACCACGGAGGCAATCACAGGAGCAAGGATACGTCTTACAGTGAGAAGCACCCCGCCATCAGAGGGCACTAAATATACTGTAAAATAAACAGTCACTTAGCCAATAATCCAATAAAGAGACTATATTTAGTAAATATAGAAACTAATGAAGATTAAGCAATTGATAAACTGTTCCTGTCTTTTGATAAATAGGAAGAATATCCTTAAATCTTGACAAGTAAGAACGAAGGATTTATAATCAACTTTAGGTAAATACAATAAAACAAAAACAGCAAAGGATGGAAAACAATATTTATTTTAATGTTGCTTTCCTATCGGGCGGAGGCAGATCATTCTCTCACCCGGCACAGGGCTGCAACACATAAAAGAAAAAAGTAACCTTGAGATTGTTGAAAAATATTTCGGAGAAAATATGATAATTATCAAATCAAAAGTGCGGAGGAGGAAATTATCCCCATTCCTCCAACATACCAAAAATAAAGCCGTTCTAACTAAATTCTAAGTTCAGAGAAACTGTTGGAAGTAAGACGATTGTGTTGATGTTGAAACGGGTGACCAATTCAGCGTGGAAGGAGGAAGGAAGTAAAAGCAAGTCATCTTGCAAGTCAACTGTTTGTAAATGAAATATTTCAAATTTGTTACATGCTGATTTAACTTACCCACTGCGTTGTCTCCCCTTCTTGATTAGCTCCGAGTTTCTTGATAAGGGTTCAGAATACAAAGACGCGAGCGAGGAACGATGACAACTAAGAAACCCGCTTGCTTAACGAGTGAGTGAGTTGGTTTAACAATATTGCAGTTATAACATCAGGATAATGTCGGTTCGTGGAGAAACCAAAGTGATCTGGTCTTAGACGTTTTGCACTTTGGTGACACATCATCAGGCGAGTCAGTTACACTCAGATCTCAGTTCTCGCTACCGTTATACAAAGATCTTAGGACATCCGAGTACAGGTCACGTCAGATCGACCTTTGACCCACCAGTGAATTGACGAACGGGAAGCACAACATTATAAGAGGACGGTGGGGTAGCCTACTTGTTAAAGCGTTCTCTTGTTACACCGAAGCCCCGGGTTCGATTCCCCACATGGGTACAATGTGAAGCCGATTTCTGGTGTCCCCTGCAGTGATATTGCTGGAATCTTGCTAAAAGCTGCGTAGACCCATACTAACTCAACATTACCAGAAATTTGACAAAATTCGCGATTCAAAATTTGGAAACTGAACAAAAGAAATTCCTGGAATGTCTAATGTGCTCGAGTTTGTATGGCAGTTCTTTCCACGGGGCCCCTTCCGTTCAAATGTTATCCCACTGAGGCAAGAGATTTGACAGAATCAGTCGCACAGGCCGTAACTATCATTCAGAATACCCCGAGTTAACCTTTTCGAGGTTGCATACTTTCCTGCTCTGGAAAGCGACGCTTTGATTGGTCGTATGACAGGTCGTTCTGACGTGACGCGAAACGGTAAGTCATCCGGTCTTTGTTTAGCGGTAGCGAGAACTAAAATCTGATTTTAATTAGATTAGGCGAATCTGGGATTCGAACCCATGATCAACGGATCCTGGCAATACTAAGGGACGCAACTCTACACAGCGAATTGTGACCCCTTGTATAACGACGGACTCCAATGATATTACAGGCTATGAACTATTTTTGTCTCGAGAAAATACAGCGCTAACCTAAATTGTATCGGTAGTACCCGATATTTGGTTGTCGGGCAACACCACATGCCTCGCATCAATGTTGCCTGACATTATATGAACGCTTCAGTATTTCCAAGTGACAAAATATGAAACGCAACCGCGTTCAACTTGCCTATTGAGTCTATATGAAAAGCATCATTACTTCAATGTGACACTATACGAACCGCATCAATGTTAACTGGTGGTAGCATATGATACGCATTAGTGTTGGCCTGTGGCACTATATGATACGCATTAGTGTTGGCTAAAGGCACTATATGATACGCATTAGTGTTTGCTAGTGGCACTATATGATACGCATTAGTGTTGGCTAGTGGCACTATATGATACGCATTTGTGTTGGCTAGTGGCACTATATGATAGGCATTAGTGTTGGCTAATGGCACTATATGATACGCATTAGTGTTGGCTAGTGGCACTATATATTACGCATTAGTGTTGGCTAGTGGCACTATATGATACGCATTAGTGTTGGCTAGTGGCACTATATGATAAGCATTAGTGTTGGCTAGTGGCACTATATGATACGCATTAGTGTTGGCTAGTGGCACTATATGATACGCATTAGTGTTGGCTAGTGGCACTATATGATACGTATTAGTGTTGGCTATTGGCACTATATGATAAGCATAAGTGTTGGCCAGTGGCACTATATGATACGCATTAGTGTTGGCTAGTGGCACTATATGATAAGCATTAGTGTTGGCTAGTGGCACTATATGATACGCATTAGTGTTGGCTAGTGGTACTATATGATACGCATTAGTGTTGGCTAGTGGCACTATATGATACGCATTAGTGTTGGCTAGTGGCACTATATGATACGCATTAGTGTTGGCCAGTGGCACTATATGATACGCATTAGTGTTGGCTGGTGGCACTATTTGATACGCATTAGTGTTGGCTAGTGGCACTATATGATACGCATTAGGATTTACTAGTGGCACTATATGATACGCATCAGTGTTGCCTGGTGACATGATACGTTTCAGTATAGTTATAGATACGTGTTGCCTTAGTCTGTCATACAGACCCTGATACACATATATTCAATTCAGCCCATGCAGGTCTATAATGCTTGGCAAGTCTAGATAACTGCAGTATCAGTATCTGAAAATGAAGAGCGTCGCTGGGCTCCTTTTTATTATATTTGTATTAAGATAATTTAACAACTGTTTTTTTTCTGTAAGATATGTTCATTTCAGAGACTAGATGTGGTATCAGTGTTTCTTAGCAACACCACGCTAGTGGCGTAACGCTGCTCACCTGGGGTCGCGGGTGCTGTCACGGAGAAGACACACTGGCCTTGCTGACACCACTGAAATGAAGTGATAGAAACAGTTAGTAGACCAGTTACCCCCGCTCACTACACCTAACTGATTTGATAACACAAGGGGCTATTTTTTTCTGTTGCATCAATAAAAGGGAATGCATATTAATAAATTGAGCATCAAAATACTTCGCGTTTCCATCCCTTTATTGGAAGACAATCCATGAACGGAACGTTATAATAATGAACTAAACATGCAACGATAACTGACTGGAAGCCTTAACGGACAAGAAGCCATGAGTGTTACTGACGAGAAGCCATGATGTATACAGACGAGAAGCCATGGCATTTATGGACCTGAGGCTGTGATGGTGTTTGTTTGTTGTTTAACACCACAATCAACAATATTCCAGCTATATGACGGCGGTCTGTAAATAATCGAGTCTGGACCAGACAATCCAAGGTTTGATATCATGGGCATCGATCCACGCAATTGGGATACGATGACATGCGCCAACCAAGTCAGCGAGCCTGAGCCCTCGATCCCTTTAGTCACCTCTTACGACAAGCATGGGTGGCTGAAGACCTATTCCAACCCGGATCTTCACGGGTCCCATGACGGTATGGACAGGAAACTGTGGTATTTAAGGACCGATGAACTGAGCTCACCTTCCTGTTCCCGCACGTCGTCCCATCGTGCGCCAGGTTGGGGTAACAGTTTCCGTCACCAGGGAACAGGCAGAAGAATTCATGACACATGTTGTCGAACGTTCTTCCTCCCGTGAAGTACAGTTGCTGTACAAAAGATGAACTGAACCATTGATACATATATACATAATACATATACCTTTATATTATAATTGTTTTGCAACGTTTTGATGTCACATACAGCTTAGGATGACTTGCGTATCCCCTACTCGTATCAACGATAGTGACAGTATGTTGCGGCACACGAAATATCACATGGTAACGATGCTACAATGATTGTGCGCCTAGCTATAAACTGGCTTTAAAACTTTGACATAGATATGAGAACAAGCTTTGTTGAATGTCGCACAGCAATTTCACATTTGTTGATAAGCTCGGGGAAACCCATCACCAGATTAGATATTTTTTTAGCTACAGCTACAAAACCATGTTAAATTACATCTGTGAGTTTGAATATCTTTTACAGAAAAACACCTTGCAACGTAGTAATATATTTTAAGAATTTCTGGGGCAATAATTTTCTTTCGATGAAATCCAAGGCCCCTCTCAGAATACCAAATCGTCGCTCCTTCACGCAAACGAAATGGATGGTTCTCGGTAGGATTTGAACAAAAGGATGAATGACAGCAATCATACCCGACAGAATTTAGACCCAGGACCAAAGTACAGCTGACACTGCACATCGGCCGGGTACTTCTGCCCGAACTCCGTGGTGAGGAAGGGAGCCAGGTTGATGGGAGCTCCGGACAGGGTGAGCGTACACGCTGAGGCAGGCCTGAAGATACATCTCTGTTATCATCACCACCATTCCCCTATATATATAATACTCAAAAATGAGGTAAATGTTCACTCGGTGTACATGTAATATATAATAAAATAATAAAGTCCACGTTAGTCCATCATCTTCTTTATATCAGTTTCATACATAGTACTTTCGCTGTCTCATGACAGCTCTTCAATGTAACTGACAATGACATATAATGACGTCATACTTATGATGACGTCATAAATTACGACTGTGACGTCATGATGTATTTACACACTCCAGCGACGACACGTTTCATGTTTTATGTCTCATTACAGCTCTTCATACTCTTCGTTGATACCCCTCACTTAAAACGAGTTGCATATGGTCTTTTGTCAATAATGTCATTTGGGCCAGCACTAGATCGAAAGAGACTACCCTGCAATGCCTTATGCGTATTTTGACAAGGCAATTACTTACTTGCCCTTAGGTCTATAACAGTTTACTGTTGTTTTGACCAAAATAATACCTTAGGCTAAATAGGGGACAAAATAAACTAAACTTCACGTCAATGTTTGTGTCATGAGGGAATCACGATTGATCTACACAATGCATGTTTAACAATCAGACACTCAAAGTGGTGTTGGAACAACTTGAATACAACTTCCACGGAACACCCAAAGCCCAAAGCCCAAACCCAGTTCGTGTTAAACTTTTAAGAAAAGTATACCTCATGACTGATATTTTAGCAGTTACTCTCCTTTACCCTCACAGAACCAAAATAACTTCTATTAATTGTGTGTGTATGAGTGTTGCGTGCTTGTTGTTTAACGCACACTCAGTCATACTCCAGCTATATGACGGCGGTCTGCAAAAACCAGAGTCAGACTTTCCAGTGATTGATATTACAGTAAACTACGGTTATAACGAACACGCTTATAACGAACTAACGGATATAACGAACTAACTTTTTAGTCCCGACTATTTGCTGTAGTTATACTGTATATATGCTTATAACGAATTACGGTTATAACGAACTAAAAGTAGTAGTCCCTTTGAGTTCGTTATAACCGTAGTTTACTGTATGAACAACGATCTACGCCGTCAGGTTACGATGACATGCAATCTACCAAGCTACGGAGTCTGACCATCCGCTCAATTAAATCGCCGCTCACGACCAGCATGGTTTGGTTTGGACCAGTTCTAACCCGGACTCCCCGGGGAAGAGTGTTGTGGTACCCACGTTTGCAGGAAGGCCTGGATGTTGTCGGAGGAGCACGTGGAGTAGGTCCAGGGGTTGGAGGCGCGGCTCGCGGGGGGAGACTGGATAAACTCCGACATGATGAAGTTGTCGCTGCTGGCGCAGAGATTGAACTCTCCATCGCTCTTCGCCGTAAGACTGAAAACAGAAGTAACATGACAGATTAACTGTAGTAATATGACACAGAATTAAAATATCAAATTAACTATAGTAGTATAAACAAAATTAGCATAACAGATTGACTATAGTAATATGAAACAGAACTAGCATAACATATTAACTATAGTAATATGAAACGAAATTAACATAACAGATTAACAATAGTAATATGAAACGGAATTAACATAAAAGATTAACTATCGTAATATAAAACGAAATTAACATAACAGATCAACAATAGTAATATGAAACAGAATTAACATAACAGATTAACTATAGTAATTTGAAACAGAATTAGAATAACAAATTAACTAGAGTAATATGAAACAGAATTAACATAACAAATTAACTAGAGTAATATGAAATAGAACTAACATAACATATTAACTTCAGTAACATGAAACAGAATTAACATAAAAAATTAACTAAAGTAATAAGAAAGAATCGGTGTCCCTTTACATTGTTTGAGTGGTATGTATACATACGCTGGAGGTCTACTTTTTAGAGGATTTTTTCCCGTCAGTTGTATATTTTTTTGTGCAATTATGCCCAACATCCCTTCGAATATTCATAATACGCTTACTAGCTACCATCTCTCAAGTATAGGGATCAACCCCTTAATATTCGTGGCCCGGGGAACACATTCTATATATGAAATGGTCAGTCCCTGACCCCTGATCCTACTCAGTGAAAGCCTTACTAGAAATGTACCAATGATATAATAATCTCAACGTACGCTCTACCAATTCCATTTGCGATGATGACGCCGAGAGCCTCTGTGCGGACATCCTCGTGTATGGAGGCTGAGGCTGCATTGCACACCAGGATATTGGCCAGGCCTGTCCAGACAACACAGGGATTACTGCTTCTATCTATCTGACATGTTAAATACCATCTAAATGTCAGGTAATATGTTTAAGTTTTAATAACAATTTGCAAAAAATGACTGAAAGGCAAATTCAAGTGTTTCGAATGTAGTTGTTTTTGATGTTTTAAAGACAAAACAATATTTGAAGCATTCCAGATACAACTCACGGCACAAGTACCATTCTTACCTGCTGAAGAGTTCTGTCCTCCTCTGGCAAGGTCAAACCTGTAATTATATTATTGCTAGACTTATTTCAAATAGTGATAGACACATTCCATATCCATGGATGGTTTGTAGTACAAGTATCTCGCCAGCATGGTAAAGATCTACTTGTGAAAAACTGTAATACACAAGGAACAAACATTCATTTTCACAAAACAACATGTTTTCTCATAATGACCCTTTTAATACTCTTTGGCTGCCGACCACAACTCATCGTATTCATATGTGTGAACTTTTCCGAATACATATATGAAATTATGGTTATATGAGATACTTTAATGTAGGTATATTTTATTGTTAATGATTGCCTTTATTTAAATATCTTCAGAAACTTTATTCATTACATGGTGTACGGTGAAGGAATGGCAAGATCGTTTTCTAAGGCACTGCAATTCGATGTGCAGAGTTGCCTCCCTTAGGTGTGCCAGAATCTTATAATCATGGATTCAATCCCGTATTCAATCCTAATTATGATTCTTGTTTTGTCAGCAATCGTTGGTTTTCTTATATTGGGAAATGGTTAAAACTTGCTTCACTCACTCGCACACCATACATCACATGACCATATATGTTCCAGTTAAGCCAAGCTTGTCGACAACGTACCCTGTGATTAGCATGGTGTGGTCGTAGGGAATGCCGGCGATGACGCCGCCTTGTGAACCAAGGAACGCTTCGAATGCTGCAAGGGAGCTGTTGGCGTCCACGATGTTGGTGTTGTTCAGATTGGACGTCCACGGCGCAACTGCTGGTACCTGCGTAATACCAGTAATGCTAGACTCACCCCCGACCACACTGCAGGGAACTAGTGAACAGGTGCTACATACCACTGGTGTTCTCACTGACAAGCGTGCCCAGGGGGTGATATCTAGGTTCTCTTCTTTTCCGCCCTGTGCCTATTGCAATCTACCTAACGTACTGTGTTAAACTGACCACAAAATATACCGATATGCTTCAGGAAAAGTCATTGTTTAAAGCAGCGGGCCACAATATAAAAATACAAGGCCAATTTGCAATAATATTTTCTTTTTATAAAATAATATTTTCAATATATTTCTCTGTATAAACAATTCAGGCCATATCTTTATCGTTATTTTGACATGATGGTATGACTATTTGTACACTGGAATTATGAAACGTGTGCTAAAATGTCAATCGATAAACGGTAACTTGTTCAAAGATGTATTGTTACAGTGCTATTACTTACACTCGCAATGACAAAAGCATTAACTACAAGCTGGATCGTGAAGCCCGGCCTTGTCAACGTGGTCAATCTCCGGTTGACCTGAAGTGAAACGCATCCCGCGGTTATATAAGCATAAGCATATGTTCAATGGCTCAGTGATATGACATGTTGTGAGTCCTTACTAACATGGGGCAATTTACCGTTTTTCCTCACCGGAGCTCGGATAATCGTCGGTACAGGTAGATACAGGTTAGTAGACCCGATTAAACAGGACCAAGCTCAGACAACGTGGGGGCCCTAGGAACTAAGGTTCAGGTCGTTCAACTATAATAATATTATTCCATTTCAACAGTTGATTACCACAATTACTCTGAGTACATGTCTCACCGCCTGACACCAAATACAACAGGTAGATGCATCGCCCTTCTGTAAATTTAACAATGAGCTGCTACGTGTAGTGATTGAGCATTCAGACGGTGCTCAAATATGGAACAAGCTTCCACTCCATACCCGTGACACAAACATCTCAACTGAAACCATTCCCAGAGCATAACCTTCTTTAAAGTCTTGGTTGAAACGTTAAATTCTTTAATTGGCACTTTAAAGTTTAAAG